ATTATCTCTCAGCGGGCCTGGTGTACACCGCTCCTTGAGTTGACATCTTATTATTAATTACATGGCATATCGGGTTTGGTTGAGCTGTACATATGGAGAAGTACTTATTTATTTGTATATTTTAATTGCAATAATTTATATGCTGCCTCCCCATACAGTTCTAGACAGCTCACAATGAATTCAGGCAAAACCTATCACAACATCACATTAAAAACAGCATAATCATCAACAACAAAAGCCTAGACTGTTCTTCAAGGGTTCAAAATACTTCTGACTTCACTGCAATTCCTGATAGATCAGCAGTTCTCAACCTATGGGTCGCGACCCCATTTGGGGTCGATCGACCATTTCACGGGGGTTGCCAAGCAAGGCTGTCCACCATTTTTTTCCCCCTTTTCCGGCGGGTGCCTTACCTCCCTTGAGCTGGGCCAGCTGGTGGTCAGCCTGCTCCGTCTCTGCCGCTTGCCAGCTACGCCTCAGCCGGAGCAGGGGGCGGAACCACGCATGCGCGGCGCTCCCGGACAGGGAAAGTCCTCGACTTACGACCGGTTGGGTAGTCCTCGACTTACAACCGGTTTAGTCCTCGACTTACGACCGGTTTAGTCCTCGACTTACGACCGGTTGGGGGTCGCGGCATTAAAAAGGTTGAGAACCACTGTGATAGATGATACCTTCTGCCTTGAAGGCGTATTGGAAAAGGGCGGTTTCAAATAAACAACATGGAAGGTCTGTCCTCACCTTGGAATGGGTCAGGCTCTTTCCACATTGTGGCAGCCGCCACAGAGAAGGACAGCTTCTTGGCTCCCTTCCACATGGCACTGCAGCCTGCTTTCTTGGAATTCAGGGCAAGCATCTGCAGCTAATAATTCTATTGACTATGTGCCATCAAATTTTTCTTGACTCTTGGTGACTGCGTGGATAGATATTCTCCAGGACGATCTGTACCCAACCTAGTCCTTCAGGTCTTTCAGGGCACACCTTTTGCCACTGTAACTGAGCTCATCCACCTTGTTGCTGGCTCTCTTTCCTTCTATCCCTCCCAGGATTAAAGCCTTCTTCAGAGAGCTAGGGTTGTGCACAATGTGTCCAAGGTAGGATAATTTGATCCTGGTCATTTGTGTCTTGAGGGAGAATCCTGGATTGATTTGTTCAATAATCCATTGAACAGCTTTCTTGGCTCTCCACAGCATTCTCCGATGACTTCTCCAACACCAAAATTCAAAAGCATTAATACCCATTAACAGTTTTGAAAATGTTCAAAATGAGGGATTTCTTCCCTGGGGGAAAAAAGCTAGCTTTTTTTTTTATTATTTGGGAGGAACTCTTTCTTGGCATTAATTTTATGACAATCTGATTGTAAAAGAGCAAATATTTATTTTAGGGTGTGGTGGCATTGAGGAGCCAGTTGTCAGTAATAAGACATATTTTCTGAAGAAATAATTATTATTATCATATGAAATTAAAAAAGCTAAACTTGTTTGATTAATTTTCAGACTTCAGTTCTTTAAAAACACTCCTAACTTTTTTTTTCTCTCCACCCCGTTCTCCATGTTTTCTTGGTGAGATTGATTTGTTGTTCATGCGAGCTCAAGCTTTTTCTCAGTAGATTTAGGAGTATACAGAAACATCGATTCAGCGAAATTATGCTGGTTTTACCAAACGGCATTTCAGATGTTATAATTGGACTTGACTCTTCATTTGTACATACATCTAGCTTGTGCAAAAAGAGCTTAGAAAATATTTTCTACTTGCGGAGTGTTGATCCATTCTTACCTGTCTAAACATCCCAACAGTGTTTATTTTTCAAAGCTCAGCTTCTATTTTTGTGTCTCAAGTTTTAAAGATGTCTGTTTACCCACATCGCAAAGAAACTAACAAAATACTTAAAATTTCTAATCATAATTAATTATGACCAGTGTAATCAACGTCAAGCATACACAAATTGCAGGCAGTGTTTAGAAGTGATCTGAATAATGTATGACTGTCAGAGATACATAGTATGGCTTCCATAGAGCAGACACCCTGTTTGATTCTTTTATTCTTCTGCATGTTGCATATTTCATGGGGGACAAACACTAATTCTTTTTCAGTACATATATGAATATGGGGTAGTACAAAGCTTTGAAATGTCAAAAGTATAGTTTTTAGTGCTCCGTGTTTTTTGCTATAAAATGAAAAGAGGTCTTCTAAGCACAGGCATAATCTTATTAACTATGTTTTAATAGCAAATTTGTGTGAAGCAAATTAGATTTATTTTGGCAAAGCAATTCATCTTATAGGGGTTGATATTATCTGCTTCCAAGTGAAGAGTGGAATCCAGTGAAGAAATTCAGGTAGGCTCAAATCACTTTGGACTGTCCTGTCCAGGTGAAGCATCCTGTTACCCTTCACCACCAGCACTAGCTAAAGTGTTTCCGGGCTATGTGTCTCTATGATTATCCACAGTTTATGTTGAAGTCAAGGCATTCAGCACATTTAAACCACTCTGTCTTGAAATGCTGGCTTGGGCCAAGGGCATCTAAGCCTTCCTTCTCTGGTAGATACTGGTGGTATTCTTTCAGTATTTTGCCAGAGCCTCCAGCTTGTGAGTACTTTGACCACCTCGGGAGGATATGACTGCTCTCAGCCTTCCTGTAGAACAGGCTGTGTGGGAAAAGGTTGAGAGGCAACCACAATCATTTTAAATTACTTTTTTCCAGACATGGCAGTTTTTAGTTGCATGGACTTCAAAGGCAGGCAGCATGGCCATTGAGGAGAATTTGGGGAGTGGATGTCCGTATACCCGGAAGTTGCTAAATCTGGAAGTAAAAGTTTTAAAGTATTCTGCTAGTGCTTGAGTTGCACCAGGTCCATGGTCAAATCAATTGAACAAAAAGCTTAGCTGTACAATGTATTCACAGTTGGGATACACAAGTGCTGGGCAATGGGAATGAAGGATAAGAAATTTGTGCCTCCCATTAATAAAACTATAGCAATGGAACAGTTGCTGTAGCTTTGCTATAATTACTATAATTCCAGTATCTTTACCCTTACTTTACTTACATTGCTAACAAATTTAAACACCACTATTTCCATTTAAGACAGGAGTGGGTAACCTTTTTTCAGTCAAAGACTGCATTTCTTTGGAAATGATGGGAGAGTGGAATGGACGTAAGTGGGGCAGATCCGAAAGTGGGAGAGTCACTAGTTCTCTTGCTTTTTGAGGCAACTATTCTCTCTCCCTTCCCCCCTCTTTTTTGAAACTTGGATTACACTAAAAATAGTGATTTGATGACAATAGACTGCTCCTATGTGATGTAGCAGTATGCCCTGTCAATACGTATTTCAGCCCATGTGGCAGCATGAAAGTGAGTTCAGAATTAAACGCCATCTTATCTCAGTTGTATCTTCATCAGATTTTGAGAAGTCCATGTTTTGCTTTTATGTTCCTTTCACAGCCAAACTGGCTTGCTGTCATTCTTTTGCAACTGAGAGAGAAATGGGGTTCAGTAATCTACCTGTCAGCTCTTATTCTCCTCTGGAGTTATTTCTTATGTGAACTGAACATATGTCAGAATGCTCTTGAAGACGCAAAATTGTATTTTGTTTTGGTGCACAGAGAATTTTCACTGGAATGTTTCCTTATCTTACTGCAAGTTGATGTGTTTGTTCAAGATACTGCTTTCTTTATTTGTTTTGTACTCCTAAATACGGTATTTTGATGCTTTTGTTTGCCTTAGAATTGTTGTGTGGAAAAACTCACAACAGCCTATAATTATTTGATGGAAAAATGTTTTACAGTATTCTTCAGATCCTCAGAGGTTCTGAAACTCAGAGTAGAATCACTGAAGTTATCATGTGGCTTTCTGAGCATCAATAATTTTTGCCAAGAGAAAATGGTGGATCAGAAATAACAGTGAATAGATGTTTTCTGAAGCTACTTGGGTTTTTTTGTTGTTCTTGTCTAATATTTTCTGGAAAATCTTGCTAGAGCTAGGAAGTAGATAGTAGCACCTATGAAATCATGCTAAATGTTACTTGGGTATTGCAGTTTTTCTAAGTGGATTTTTTTTTCTGAACAGAATAATATCAGCATTCTCCAAGGTATTATTTTCTCTCTTTCTTCCCTACTACAAATTCTGGAGAACTTGGCACATGAACTGTTCCACTTTATATTTTTGAAGGAAAAAGTATGTGATTTATTTTAGCTAAAAGTTTTTCAATAGGAAGGAAGTATCCTGCTTTGCCAATAGTCTAGAACTAATGTATATGTATATAATAGTATAGTTCTAGACTATAATATATATAATATATATATGTAATATATAATAGTATTATATATTATATATATTATAGTCTAGAACTATACTATTATATACATATAATATGTAATGTATTATATATATTACATAATAGTCTAGAACTAAGGAGAAATTTCCTGACAGAACAATTAATCAACGGAATGACTTGCCTCCAGAAGTTGTGGGTGCTCCAACACTGGAGATTTTTAAGAAGAGACTGGACAACCATTTGTCTGAAATGGTATAGGATTTCCTGCCTGAGCTGGGGGTTGGACTAGATGACCTCCAAGGTTTCACTCTGTTATTCTGTAAGATATTCTTAAAGCATTCTTTTGTGTTCACAGTCTGCTATTTTCCTCTGTTCTCTGATTTATATGTTGGATGCGAAAGTACAAAATAGAGCTTCTGCCGTATGATTATATGATAAAATATTTCATTATGATGAATGTATCTAAAAAGTCAAAGTTATGATTGCTGTAAGAACTTTAACTAACTGCCTGACTTGGGCTCAATTATTTGATATTTTTCAGAATGTATTATGCTACGTTTAGCACTGCTTATTCTAATTTTGAGAGTATACACTATAATAATTTCCTATTTAATGGTTCTTATATAATTTTTCCCCTTCTGAAGCTGAAAGTCTTCAGGCTCCTTCAGGTATAAGAATTAAGGGTCCATGATTTAATCATGATTTATAATTTTATTTTAATCTTCTCAGAGATGTCGGAAGATGAACAGTTTGCCTTGGCTTTAAAAATGAGTGAGCAAGAAGCCAGACAGTTAAATTCACAAGAGGAGGAAGAGGAAGAACTTTTGAGAAAAGCCATTGCTGAGAGCCTAAGTGTAAGTAGAAGAGATGTCCTCCTTTTACTCTTTTTTTTTTTTTGCCCTGCAGGTTTCAAAAATGACTTTTCTCCGAGGCTGGCTTATGTAAACTTCACTTGGAATCGTAGTCTTAGAGAAAGCATCTGACAAGAGAGCAAATATAACAAATATATTTGTTAAGCTTTACTGTGCTAATGGACTTATTGATGCATAATATCTAATTTCACCGTTGGCTATCACCCAGCAGATTAATGTGGAAGTGTCATTTATGTTTTTTTACTGTGTAGAACAGCAGTCAATTTGATTTAATAATTAGAAGAATACATATATACATACATGCGAATCATTTTCATTTTCTGTTTGCTCTTGTTCTTCCCATAGAGCTGCCAGCCTTCTGAGTTTTCTGCTGCTGCAGCGCCTTTGCCTCTCCTTTCCCAGGCATCAGTGTCTCCAGTGCAAACCCCCCCATCTGGAGCAGAGGATTCTCGGCTCCTTGAAGTTCCGCCACCTTGCTCTGAGTCTCCTTGCTCCAAGTGCAGCTCCCTCTTTCCAAGTGACAAAGCTGATGAGAACAGGCAGACAGATGTCACCAAGAGTCCCCTGGTAGTACTGACGAGGTTAAGCCAGGACATAGTTGAAAACTCGCTAGTCTCTAGCATAATTGTATCTTCAGGGGACAGCCAGCCTTTTGGAAGGTCAGGCCCTTCCTCACCGGCTGGGACCTGCTCCAGTGATGCATCACATAGTGCAGAAGAGGAGTTACCTATTATCCAAAGTCCCACCTTTCCCCAAAGACCTCGGAGGTCTTGGCAGCTGGCACCCCGGAGGCTCTTTCTGGAAAAGAACAGCCTTCTAACACCAGCAGATAAAGAAATAAAACATTCCCCAAATTACTTAAAAGAAAACCTTCATGTTGATTGCCCAGGAGCCCTACAGAAGGACGTCCAGCAGCAGAGTCCTTCTGATCATGACGGAAGTCCTTCTGAGTTCGGAGATCAGGCTGAGCACGGCAAAAATACACGTGGGTCTGCTGAGCTTGTAGAAAGGACTGGCCTGCCAGAAAGCGCCCTGCCCACTTGCACACTTCCTTGGACTGACGAGAAATGCCAACGTGAAGAACCGGATGCGGTGCACTATTATTGGGGCGTTCCGTTCTGCCCCAAAGGAATAGATCCTAACAGATACACTCGAGTCATCATGTGCCAGCTTGAGGTGTACCAGAAAAGCCTGAAACAGGCTCAGCGGCAGCTCCTGCTGAAGAAGCCATTTGGGCAACCGATTGTTCCTAATTCATGTTCCCTGAGACAAAGTAAACTTGCAAAAAAGGAGGAAACATCACGACAAAGAGAAGATACTGATGATCAAGAAGGGGAAGACCTGGATGAGAAAAAGGAACCCGATAACGTGGCCTGGCTCCTTTCCCGAGTAAATGGAGAGTTTTACAAACATCCAGCGCAGGATGTAGCAGAGGGAAGAAACTCTGAGTGTGGAGATGAACCAGCGAGCAGCTCTCTTCAGGTAAGTTTGCCCTACCTGGAGAATTATGGATCAAAACAACAAAACAACAAAAAGAGCAGAGTGGCTAAGCATTTTGCCGCGTGCACGTTCTTAGATCAGAATGGCAGGAAATTATGCTATTGATTTTTCAGCAGTAAAGGTAAGGTTAGAGGGAATTCTAGGGGACACAGAGAATTGTTTGGGAGCTGTAAATTGCCAACTGCTGTGCTGAATGCTATCCAGTGATGCTTCAAGGGTTCTGAAGCCATTAGAGTCCTCTGAAAATCTGTTTTTAAGAGTACAGATAGTCCTTGACCTATGATCACAATGGAGCCAAAAACATTTTTGTTGCTAAGCAAGATAATTTTTTTTAATTGAGTTTTGCCCCATTTTATGATCTTTTCTGCTAGAATTGTTAAACGAATCCCTGCAGTTGTTAAGTGAATCATGCAGTCATTCGGTGAATCTGGCTTTCCCCCCCTTTGACTTGGCTTGTGGGAAGCTGGCTAGGAAGTTTACAAATGGTGATCACATGATCACAACTGTACAACTGCCATAATTACAAGCCAGCTGCCAACCTTCCCAATTTTGTTCATGTGACCATGGGGATGCGACAGTAGTTGTAAGTGTGAAAATTAGTGATAAGTCATTTTTTTCAGTGCTGTTTTTCATTTCAAACGGTCACTAAACGAAGGATTGTAAGTCGAGGACTACCTATATACTAATTTAGTTTTTACAATGTAAATAAAATTATATTCACCAATGCACAGCACTGTAGAATAAACTGATGCTCCGGGTTGCTGATCAAGGGGTTTTGCTAAAATAATGGCTAGATCAGTGGTGGCAAACCTATGGCACGGGTGCCAGAGGCGGCACTCAGAGCCCTCTCTGTGGGCACGCGCGCCGTCGCCCCAGTCCTAGGCCTTCATCTGGGTTTTATAAAACCTTTTCGCTTTAGGTCTCTGCCACCATGTGCAAAAAAAAAAGTTCAATCAATCAGTCAATTTCAACTTCTCGCGAGAAAAAAAAAGATCTTGCAAAGTTGGAATTGATTGATTGAACTTTTTAGTCCCACCCAGTCTGTTACCACCGCAGCCACGCTCACCCAATTGGCCACACCCAGCCAATGGGCCACACCCACCCGGCACCCGAGGATGCATAAGTGGGTTTTGGGTTGCAGTTTGGGCACTCGGTCTCTAAAAGGTTCGCCATCACTGGGCTAGATTATGTTGCATTTGTTAGAATCAACAAGATGTGGAATCTGTATGGTATTATATTCGGACAGTTGTGGTGGAACATGGTTTGTTTTCAGCTGTGAACTTTTGCTAGTCTGAGCTGAAATTTTAATTTATATTATTGAATTTGTTTTATTGCTTTGTCCTTTGGAGTTATTACATTTCTCAAACCTATCAATCTTTCATGCTTCCTCTGTGTTTCTGCTTTGCATTTTTGAGCAGTGCACTGTCCTTTTTCATTCATTGTATTATAGGACAAAAAAACGAGGCCTATCCAGGAAAACTTCATAGTCTCTTTAGTTGTCAAAGTTTATGCAGTGAGGCCAGAACTAAGCTTAATCTTGGTTTCGTTTGCTGAAAGTATCCTTTAAATATATATTGAGTGGCCGCTAGGTGTCAGGTTTTCTCTCTTCAGGGGCAAGAGGCAGCTTTCGGTCACCACCGTGTCTTAAACCCATTGCTAGTCAGATGAAGTATTTATTCCTGTTGTATTTTAATGTGTGTCAGCCTTTTTCAACCCTCATTTTTCATAATGACTTCGCTGCTAGATCATTGTATAACTTTATCTTCTTCCGACTGAAGCTGAACCTTGTTGTTACTATTTTCGAGTACGGTATATTTGATTGTTTACCCTGGTGATGGAAAGATACTTAACTTGTTTTGTGATATTTATATTCAACCTTACAATATTGAACATTCTGAGGAAAATCTGTCACGTCTGCATTTTCTTTTAGAAATGGAGGAGCAGTACAGTTTGTGCTTTAGGTCTCACAGACTTGGATCCAAAGTGGTTATATTTAAACAACCTTAAAGATGACCTGCAAAGAGAAACAGTTGGCTTTGTGCCCAATTTCTTTACTCACTTACGATAAGCTGGCAATTTGACCTGAATGGTTTAAGGTCAAACTTTCTGTTCTCTTGTTGGAACTTCTGACCATGTTTAATTTGGAATGTATTTTGGCAAGTGAAATGCACAGAAAACCTCCATCACTGCTGAATTCTTGAGCCTTTTATGCAGCTCAAGTTGGGGAATAATGGTCTTGACATTTAAAATTTGCTTTAGGACCACAAGAGACAAATGGCATAATTGGGGAAACTTGAAAATACAATTAAAATGCAAAAAGCTTAAGTCCTCACTTGTAAATAGACACAAAAGCACTTTATAATAGTAGAACAGAGAAGTAAAGGCGGGAAGGCAGCCAAGTCTAACAATATGCTTCGCGACAGGTAATTTTTAACATTGCTTTTCTTTCTTCCACATGAAATAGAACATGGAAGCAGTGGGCAGATAATTCAAAGGTTACTTTCCATGTTTTAAGCTTCATTTGAGCATCGTATTTTTCTTTGTTGTAATTACCTACCAGCATACTTTGTCACAGTTTCAGTGCCCTTTGTGTTGACAGTAGTGGAAGCACTAATGTATTTAAAGTGCCAACGTGTCTCCTTAGTTGTTCAGTCCAAGCAGATGCTATCAGCCAGCTGCTTGGTTGAGCCACTTGTTACTACTACAGTATAGCTGAATAAGTTGTCAGTGTAAAATCTGCAAGGTCCTTTTTCGGGTGGTTTGCATTAGTGGCAAGCCTATTTAACTATGATACTTGCATTTGCTCACTTGCAAAATGGTTCATGAAGGCAACAGCTACAGTTTCTTCCGGTCTTCCCTAGTGATTCTTTGCTCACTGTGATTACATGAAATTATGTTAAAATGGTTAAAGTGCTTGAGTGACTCTTTCAAGCTCCATATGTTCTTCAGGAAGAAGCATATACTTCTGTTGACATAGGGGAACATTTTTCTTATTTGTTGTCCAGAGTGACAGCAGTTGTGGACTTCTTCTGAAAATAATATTCCCATGAAACTGTTGCGAATACTCTCATCATGCTAATTCTCCATTCTCTCCTCCATTTTATGGGCAGCTGCTTGGGATTCAATCAATCAGAATAGAGCTGGAAAGGACTTTGGAGGTATTCTAGTCCAGCCCCCTTCTGGTGCTTTGGAAAATAAGTTGACTCCCTCCTTTTTGTGGCAGCTTCTCAAATATTGGAATACTGCTATCATGTCCCCCCTGGTCCTTCTTTTCTCTAGACTAGCCAAATTCAAATCCTGCAACTGTTCTTCATATGTTTTAGTCTCCAGGAATTTAATCATCTGGATTGAGGACAATTATTTCAAAGAGAGAGAGGGGGATGCTTTGGTATGGGGACAAGAGGCTTCAAATCTATCTAATTTAACATTAAGAATAATTATTATGGCTGTTTCTTGTAAAGGAAGCAAGTCAGTTTCTTAATTTCTTTTCTAGGACTGATTGAACAAACATTAAGATCTTCTGAATCTGAATAAGCATGTTCCCTTAAAAAAAGGAACTGAGAAAGATAAATTTGGGGGTGGTCATTTGTATTGTATTTTAAACATCTACTCTACAATCTTAAGAATATAAGAGGCGGTTCTTTGCAAAGTGCAAAGGAAAGGCCAGTTTGATGTAGAGGCCTCAGGGTAGAAGCCAAAAGACTGTGATTTCTATAGGCACAAAGGCACCGTAGGCACAAAGTCAACTGGGTGACCTTGCGCCAATCATTCTCTCTCCCAGCCCTAGGAAGGAGGAAAGGCAAAACCATTTTCGAAAAATCTTGCCAAGGGTCTAATCTAGGCAGGTGCCAGGATTCAAATATATTACCTGATGGCACATACACACTGGAAAAGTATACTTGTTGAGTCTACTCACGGTCCTAGGGCTATTTGCCTTTTCCCCTTTAAGCAGTGTTTGCAAGCTTTTCCCATAGTATTGACTCTGCTCTTGAAAAACAGTAGGAAGGAGATTATGTGTAATAGCATTTGTCCTCACTTGTAGTTAGGACCATATTCTTCACCCAAAATGGATAACTCACAGTATGTTTGCTTAGATTGACAAAAAAAATATGGGGACGTAGGAAGAAGACAGAAAGGGAAGAGTAAATGCGGGTGGGAGTAGGGAGATTGGGAAAAGAGAATGGAAAAACATAATCACAAATTTAGCAGAATAAGGTTAAAGGCCTGTCAGAATTAAGGAGTGTGACATTCTCAGGCTAGAGATTCTGGCTTTCTACTCTCAGAATGTTTTCTTATTCTTTTACACCAAAAAGCTTTGCCTGTAGAAAAACACAGATAGGTAAATATTTAGCACCTGGCCCTGGAAGAATTCTCAAATCCAGAAAGCCACTTCATTTAAAATTTGTATAGTAGAACATATTTACTTTTCAGAATATGCATTTAGTACAATTAGTTTCTCACTAATGTCTGTAGATATGAAATGATAATCCATTTGTCAACTTTATTTCCAACTGATTAATTCTGATGTGGACTTCATTTTTCAGGGTATACTCACAAAACATTTTGCAAGATTGTATTTCTCTTTTAGACAATAAAGGGATGCATTCAATATCTGAAATGTATTAGTTCTCCAGATTGGTTCTTTTTCAGAGTTAGCTTTTATAACACCCTTGCTTCTGAATTTAACTTTTGAGTTTAGGTTTCATGAGAACAAACTCTTGTCATGATTATTATCCCAACTTGTCCAACAGAGCATTGCCTTCTTTGCTGCAATTCTTGGTTTGTACTGCTTTCTTTTTTGGTATTGGTTGTTAAGCAGATCTCCTTGATGAGAACTTAATTATGGGAAATTAGTTATGGTGGTTATCTAGTTTCTTCTAGCTTTTATTAGGACCCTGTAGCAATTTGATTTGAAGGAGACCTCCTTAAATACACTTCTAGGGCAGTGATGGTGAACCTTTTAGAGACCGAGTGCCCAAACCGCAACCCAAAACCCACTTATTTATTGCAAAGTGCCAGGGCTGCATCAGCATTGTGGTGCCCTCGGGGTTGGGGGTGGGGGTGGCAGGATTGGGGGAGATCCAGGGGGTCTCTGGTGGGTGGGGCAGTGGGCAGGAGGCAGGAGGCTCGTCCTGCAGGGTGAGGCAGGGGGTAGGGCGGGAGTGCCATTGCTGCGAGGCGAGGTGGGGGCGGCTGCTGCCTGATACCATCAGCCCCCACACACAGAGGCCAGCGAGCGCATGGGGGGCGTGCTCTACCACCTCTACTCGAGCTTGCTAGCCAGCTGTTTTGCCTCCTTTGTGCTGGGTGGGGCTGCCACTCCGGGCGCCAGCAGTGGCCTAATGGACCTGCGCGAGCTGGCAGCGGTGGCAGCAGGTGTGCCCACAGAGAGGGCTCTGAGTGCCGCCTCTGGCACGCATGCCATAGGTTCGCCATCACTGTTCTAGGGGAATAAGAATGTATGCCATAACTCCCAGGAAAAGACCCAGCTTCTTGAAGGAGGTGATCTTTTCCTTTTGGGATCTTCTTCTTCTAACTTTTATGATTTTGAAATCAGATGATCTTTGGGTCTCTTTAGATGTGTAATAGTTGAGGTAGTCCTCAACGTACGACCTCAGTTGAGCCCCCAAACTTTTGTTGCTAAGCATGACATTTGTTAAGTGAATCTTGCCACCGTTATTAAGTGAATCACTGCAGTTGTTCACTTAGTCACCCAGTTGTTAAGTGAATCTGGCTTCCCCGTGGACTTTGCTTGTCAGAAGGTCACAAAAGGTGATCACACGACCCCGGGACACTGCAGCCATTGTTAAGTATGGGTCAGTTGCCAAGCCTCTGAATTTTGATCATGTGACCACGGAGAATGCCGCAAGGGTGGTAAGTGTGAAAAATGATCATAAGTTACTTTTTTGTGAGTCACTTCAAACGGTCACTAAATGAACAGCTGTAAGTCGAGGACTACTTGTAAACATAGTCAATAATATAATGTATAGTCTGCAGAAATGGACAGATTAACGTTAGAGATTAAAGAGAAAGAAGACTCAGTCTCTTTTAAAACATGAGAAAATTTTTATCAGTGGCTAGCAAAATGAGTTAACGAAAACTGAAACTTATTAAGATGATTGACCTTTTCTTTTGATTATTTGATATGCTTTATAATATTTGCTACTTTTGTTGACCACAGTTACTTATTATATTAACCCTGTTGAACACTTGTATCCGGACGATAGTTTGCTTGCTAAAGCGTGGAATGTTATTGGGGGTAACCCCATTGTTGGACCCATTCCCACCCTGAACCTTTCCCTGAACCTTATCCCGAATTCCACTATCCACAATGATCCTTGTTTTCCCTTACCCTGATAAAATTTAATAAAATATTGGGAAAAAATAATATAATGTATAGTCAAATAATAATTACGTTTTTTCTTCTTAGGCTTCCCAAGTGCTGTTTGCAGAAGATATGCTTGAAGAAAGGGAGCCTGTGCAGATTACACAAAGGCAAGGAGATATATTTCATCACTGTTGATTCTGTGATAACCAAAATGGTTACTAAGCAAGACTACCTATATTGCATGTATGGTCCAGCAGAAGAGAATAGCCATCGGAAATGTGCCCCATTCTTTAAAATATAAAGGAAAACGTATCCATTGCAACAAAGATTTTTTTTCATAAGTACAGCTCCTGGCCAAAAGAATGTGATGATTTAATTTGACATTGCTCAAAGCAGTAGGCTTTCGGGAATAGCGACAGCAATAAATTCAGAGTCCGTGTGTAGGCATGGTTTTTGTGTGTGCGTCTGTGTGTGCACGCACACATGTGCATGGGTATGAAATGGAAAGAATAGAAGAGGAATCTAAGAAAATCATCCTAATATTTGTTTCCTTGAGACAACAGTGTTTTTGGAAGCCCAAATAAGGTAGGAGCGAGTGACACATGTAATTTGGGAGCTTCAAAGTCTGTTTCCTTCAGAAAAAGGAAACAGAAGGACAGGGAGCTGCTGCTTACTTTTTACATTTGGGTCACTGTTACGTACCTTCTTTAGCAGGAATAGCAAGATGACCATTTCTAGGGATATATTCTTCGAAGTCTGCTTCTTAGAAGCTTCGTAAAGCAAGAATTAAATGTGCAAGCTCAGAAAATGAAGGCTATTTGAGGAGATGGCACAGGTCAGGGAATGTTTCATGAAATAAATTCCCAGGAAAGTTCCAATATTTGTGCTCAATCAGAAGTTGCTGGGAAAAGCCACTTAATTCTTAGGTTGTTTTCCCAGGTCTTATAATTAAATGGCCTTGGCATGAGGCCACCAGTTTTTCACTGCCTGATATCCTCTTTTCATTGATCTAACAACATTTTGGCTGAATGCTGAATGAGGGAGCAGACTAACTGATGTGATAACTCTTCTTCCCACCCTGCAGCAAGGAAGGAATAATATGTACAGAATTACGCAAGGAATTTGTTGGTTTGTTTTTTATAGTAATGGGGTTTTTTTTGGGAGGTGTGTGAGATATTCAGTTTCTTTGTCACCATTATTGTCAGGAGGGACTGAATGGGGAAGAGCAAAGGAGGGGGGGGGAACCCCTCTTGTTTCTTCACTGTGACATTGTTTAGGAGGTATTCATTAGCTAGCATTTAAAAGGAAAAGCCCTAATTCTGGATGGCATTTATCTACATTTCAAATGGTCATAATGCAAAACCATCAATCTCTTAAGGCTTGTTCCAATTTCCCAGACCTCATCAGACCTCTGGGATCAAGGCTGACCATTCCATACTGTGACATCTAATTTCATCAGAAAGTCCGTCTGCCTTGAACTAACCATAGCCATGCTGTTCTCGGTCTTGTGCACATTAAAAGCTGCCATCTGGCAAGTGGCCCTTTGCCAGCAGAGCCCCGTGCTGGACGGCGCACGGCACCCAAGTTAGTAGGTTTCAAATGCTCTTTGGTTCTTCAGCTTCTGGAGTAATTTTGGAAATGGTTTCTTCCAAAGACATTTTCCTCTGCTGCTTTCCGTGGGCCACTCAGCTTTATTGTTTCCTAGCTTATGCCAAGTACAGATTGAGAGACAGAGATTGAGATTTTAATAAATGGTTATATGTTTTGTTACCGAGAGATAGTTGATGTAGCAAGCAATGCATGAGGACTTCAAGTTGATTAGCCTGTTTTATGAAGGTCGTAGCACATTGTTTAGCATGAGGCCTTTTGATGTAAATCTTGATAGTTTACATGGAGCTTGGCTTCATAACAACTGGTTTAAAGTAGTTTTATTAACAGTTATGTTAAATGATTATTTAATATTTATTAGTAGTTTTATTTTATTTAAAGAGTGAGAGAAGTCACGTGATTTTCCGTTAGAATTTTCTTATTTATCATAAATTGGCAAGGACTGTTTCTGTCTGCTTAATTTAGTAACTCTTTTCTTTAGTCATTACTGGGATTTATGTTTTTTATATATACACTTGCATATTTGATCGCTCCAGCAAGAGAACTACACAGAACTCACGGGAAGTAGGAAAGGATGGTTATATCGTAGTAGCTTAGCCTCTTTCTCTTATGACATGGAGACGTGACTTTGCTGGAAAGTGGAAATGAGAGGAATCGGGCAAAGTTGAATGTAGCATAAGAAAAAAAAAATGCTCTTTTCATGTTGGCAAGTCTTTGCTAAACAGAAACTTTGAATTGTGTCAAGATTCCTGCCTTCTGAGTGTAGTGATGATACAGAAAAAACTGATCAGTAAAATATGGATCATGAAACGTTCATTGTCAAAAAAGATCACTCCTCTGTTCTGCTTTAAGGAGTTACTAAGCATATGGCTGTTTTGCTACCTGGCGTATTCCTGTGACCAGGACTAAAAAAACACCAAAGAAACATTTACAGATCTCAGTAAACAGCCTTCCTTTTGCACATTTCTTTTAGGACATGTTGGGAGGCAAATTGTTTGCAGGCTTTTTTTGAGACACTTTTTTTCCTTCTTGTTGCATTCTCTCCTGCTACCCTCTTTGAATAAGCAGAGCTTACAGAATTCCATCCGGCCTTTCACCGAGTACTTTGTAGCTTTGATTTATTGTGTGTTTGTGTTTTGGCAGCATTTCTGCCTTGACTCCCTTGGACAATACGAAGAACCCAGACATTGCCACAGAGGATCACGCTGAGGAGGAAATCACTGTGTGCCCTGGTATGACCTCTGCTACAGTTTATTTGCAATTTTGAGTCAGAAAGGTTATGTCCTTTCCTTTCAGGCAGGCCCATATTGTTTATTATTAAGTGGGACTTCAGAGCATTGCCCGCCCCCCACCATAAGCCCTTTGCTTCCATGGTATATTGCCTGCAGACGATTCTTGCCCCATTATTTTCCTTTTTCTATTGTTTGCTTGGCACCAGACTGAGGGTGAAATAAGTAATACTTGCTGAGCTGCTTTGTTTTGAATAAGTACAATTTTGGTAAGTCTTTATAGTGACCTTTTTTTCCTTAGTTAGGTTTAACAGGACAAGATCTCTTGATCCTGTCTTTCAGAGACTGAGTGAAATACTTGTTCCTCCTAGTTCTGAATGAACAGCTTGATTCAGCGAAGGAGAAATGGTTCAAGGTTAAAACTGTTTTCTTCCAAAGCCATTCTAATTCTGACATTATTTTCTTAAAGCAAGCTTTTTTCCGTTGTATATTTGACACAGGATTAAGTTTAATTGTTGAGGTTTCCTACAGGTGATTGGCTAAGGTTTTTATCGAGGGAAGTATAGACAGGATACAAAGAAAATACCAGCTACGTAGTGCTGAGCTGAGGGGTTTTATTCTTGCATAATATTATTCACCAGCTTGCACCGACGGTGTACAGTTTACATGCCCTACCGTTCCCTGTTTCTCGTTCAGCCATAGAGTGGCATTAGTTTTATCTACACATGGCTGCACTATGGCTTTAAACTTCTACTTCAGCTGTGTTGTTGCACATTGTCTGCTAACATTTGTGACAAGTCTAAAAAATGTTTAGAAACTGTGAAGACACTGTAAAGCAAATGGGGATACGTTTTATCAGCTAGTGTGGAGTGTGCTGGGGAGGGGGAGGGGGGGTTGGAAGGGCCTTACAGAGTCTAGGAAGGGGGTGGGCCACCGCCACCGCCGCCGCTAACATGGAAATTTCTGTTGCAGAAACCCAGCAGAGTCCATCACAAGCGGTTGAGCCTGAGAGTGGAGAAATCCATTCATCCAGCAAAGATGTCTTTCCGCAGGTAAGCAAGTCCTTAGGGAATAACAGCCAGTTAAAAGCATCTGGAATGCGAAGTCTCATTTCTTACCCATTTTCCAAAAATGAGCCGCTTTGCAAACTAGGCAGCTTGCTAGAAAATCTCGTCCAGAAATGGCGTGCTCTCTTCCCGGGCCTCCTGGTGTTTTCTTCCTTTTTTATCATCAATTTCTCCTCCGTGGTTATGGCACTTCTTGTTCGTTAAGGGTTTTCTGTTGACTTTCTCACATTTGTCATTTTGGGTGCAACACTTCTCCGTATGGTGCTTTGTGAGCAGTAATATGCTAAAGTATGCCAGAGGACACCACTGGATGCTACTGTGGAAGGGCAACTAGTTGCTCCCGGCTCATGTTTCTAACTGTACAAAGGGGTTACAAGCATGAGAGCAAAATTGATTTCACAGTGAGATTAAACTCCCACTGTTGCTTATGGAAACGGAGTGGGCAGAATGTGTGGTGTCAACGCTGGCTTGAATGGTGCTGTTGAATTTTGGACTGATGGCTATGTTCGTATTACTGCTTTCATTGAACGATGCTTAGATGCTTCTCTAAATTAACCCAGAGAAAACCTTCTCTTGCTTGTAACATTATCACCAGATGAATGCTGTTGGGTGGAGTTTTCTCTCCCTGTTTCAGTGTACCTGTGCTGCAGTCACCATGCAGCTGTCATAACAATGACATCTGACTTCAGTTGCTGTTTCTGGTAAAGACACCTAGTTAAGTTGCAATTTAAGG